TTGAATAGTTAATATCACTCCAGTCTTAATTTATTACAATTTAAAATTTTAATAAATTTGATTTATTTTTAATAATATTTTTATTTTAGTAATTTAAAATTAAAGTTAATCTTCATTTTGTTAACAATATTGAGACCAAAGTTTATTTTTAAAGTATATTTTAAAAAATAAATTATTTTTAAAAAATAAATTACTTTTAAAAAATAAATTGTAAAAAATATACTAAAACAATTAAAGTATATTTATAAAAAATAAATTTAAATATAATAAAAAAATAATGTTCATTAGCGACCAATGTCAATTTGGTCTCTATTTTCTCATTAGCGATCGATTTCAATTCGGTCACTATTTTTATTTATAATTCGGTTGCTAAATTAGTCGCTAATTTTTTTATTATTTTTGTATGGAATAGTCACCGATTTAGCGACCGAAATTTTGCAACACAAACTATTGGTTGCTATTTCGGTCAGTAAATAAAAAAGTGAAACAAAATCATATTTCGATGGCAAAATCGATCGTTAATTGTGACCGAAAAAATTTGGTCGCTAATTTCGGTCGCTAAAAGTGTTTTTTCTTGTAGTGAAAAGAAGTTACAAAATTGTATAGGAGATGATGAAAGTGTGCAACAATGTGATGATCAACAATAATGTGATGATTAACAACCATATAATGAGGAAGAATTTGAGCATATCGAGATCGAAAGTTTGCCTATTGATGCTAATGGTATACCACACCAATCGTCCCCTTAAGAACCCAATACAAAAAAAAAATCTGCCAGATTGTGTCACTAGAGGTATCCCTAAGCCTACTTATGATCCCGACCTCACCAGTAAGACAAGATACCCTATGAGTAATTATATTTGTAACCAGAATTTGTCTAACTCAAATATCGCATTTATAAGTCAATTATCTACTGTATCTATTCCTAATAGTGTGCAGGAAGCTTTAGCTGACTCCAGGTGGAAGGATGCTATGAATGAGGAAATGAGATCCTTGCAAAGAAATAAAACATAAGAATTGGTAGATTGTACAGTTGGAAAGAAACCAGTAGGATGTTAATGGGTGTATATTGTGAAATTTAATGTAGATGGCACAATTGAGAGATTCAAAGTTAGATTAGTGGCAAAAGGGTATACACAAGCATATGGAATCGATTACACTAAAACGTTTACTTCTATAGCCAAAATTAGCATAGTTCGAGTATTGTTATCTCTAGATGTAAACCTTGATTGGTCCTTACAATAATTTGACGTAAAAATGCCTTCTTACATGGGGAATTGTCTAAAGAAGTTTATATGTAACTACCAGAAGGATGTGGGATCTTGGATACATATAGCAAGAAGATATGCAAGTTGAAAAAGTCATTGTATGGACTAAAACAATCGCCACAAGCATGGTTTGGTAGATTCACCAAGTCAATGCTTGCTTTTGAATATCAACAGAGCAATCAAGATCATACCTTATTTCTAAAGAAAAAGGAAGGAAAGATTATAATTCTTATTGTCTATGTTGATGACATGATATTTACGGGAGACGATCTAGAGGAACATAAGGCATTGAAAGAGTACTTGACAAAGAAATTCGAGATGAAGGATCTTGGTCCTTTAAAGTACTTTCTTGGAATTGAGGTCTCAAGATTAAAGTTAAGTATTCTTCTCTCACAGTGAAAGTATGCATTGAATTTACTGAAAGAAACTGGAATGACAACATGCAAACCAGCAAATTCTCCAACTAAAGGGAATTGAAGAAGATCAAACTCCAACTAACAAGGGAAGATATCAGAGACTTGTAGGAAGATTAATGTATCTCTCACACACCAAACCAAATTTATCCTATGCTCTTAGTGTGGTTAGCCAGTTCATGCACAATCCAGGTGAAAAACACATGGATGCTATTATACGAATTTTAAGGTATATAAAAGTTGCTCCTGGAAAAGGAGTTATGTTCAAGAAAAATTTCAACTACAAGGATGTGATGGTTTATACTGATACAGATTGGGCAGGTGCTCTTAATGATAGAAGATCAATCTGTAGATACTTTACATTTGTAGAGGTAATCTTGTCACATGAAAAAACAAGAAGCAGAAAGTTGTAATTAGATCTAGTGCAGAAGCTGAACTTAGAGGAATGATTCTTGGACTTTGTGAAGATTTGTGACTCATACTACTTCTTCAGGATTTAGATATTGCACATACACATCCCATTTAGTTGTATTTTGATAATAAAATTATGCACAACATTGCTCACAATCCTGTCCAACATGATCAGATGAAGCATGTGGAGGTTGATAGATTTTTTATCAAGGAAAAGCTTGATAGAAATATTCTGGAATTGTCAAATATTCAATCTGAAGATCAACTGACAGACATTCTTACCAAAGCAGTGACAAGTCAGATTTTTAGGAAGTTATTGGAAAAGTTGGGAATGTTTGACATTCATTTACCAACTTGAGAGAGAATGTTGAGATAAAAATATTTGATTAGCTAAATTATAGGTTTGTATAGTTGTACAAAATAGTGCATAATCATAACTTACTTTATTTAGTCCTGATTTGTATGAGTAAAATACTATAAGAACATGGTATTTGTATCCAAAAGATATATAAATAAAATTATAGAATGAATTCTATGTTTTTCAATTGAAACAATCCTCACGAGTATGGTTTGGAAGGTTTACAAAATCTATGATAGCATTTGGATATCATCAAAGTAAAATAACTGCACTTATTGTATATGTGGATGATGTCATTGTTACAAGAAATTATCAAGAGGAAAGTAAAACGTTATAAGAGTTTTAGATGAAAGATCTTGGTCCCTTAAAATATTTTCTTGGGATTGAAGTATCTAGATCCAAAAAAAAAAAAATTTATCTCAAAGAAATATCCCTTAGACATGTTACAATAAACAAATATGTCAGCTTGTCAGTTGCGAATATATCAATGGAGGAAGGTTTGAAATTATCTATTATATTAAATCAAGTCTCAATTGATAAATTAAGGTATTAAAGATTTGTAAAAAAATTGATGTACTTAGAACACACAAGATTAGATCTTGCCTAGGCATTAAGTATTGTTAACCAATTTGTGCATAATCCTAGAAAAAAACACATGAATACGGTTATACACATTTTAAGATATATAAAGTCAGTATTTGAAAAATGATTATCATTCACCAAAAATACAAATTATCAACAAATCAATGTATATATTGATGTTGATGGGTGATAATCTTGTTACACGGAGAAGCAAAAAACAAAGTGTGATCTCTCGGTCAAGCGCATAAGTTGAGTTTAGAGGTTTGATATTTAGAATTTATGAAGATTTATGATTAAAATTCTCTTGCAAGATATTGGACACCCATCCACACTACATTATATTGTGACAATAAAGCTACTTGTGATATTGTCTATCCAGTACAACATATTTGAACAAAACGTGTTGAAGTGAATAAATTTTTTATCAAGAAAAAGTTAAAAGGAAAAATTGTAAAATTACTATGATTCGCTCAGAAGATTAATTAGCTAAAATCCCAACAAAGGTCATATAAGAAATGTTAAGAAATTTATATGTACTAACATAAGGGAAATGTTAATATTTACTTTTTTTTATTCTATTAACAAAATATAATTATACAAATTGTATATTATTTGATTAAAATTTAGTATAACTATAAAATATTTTGGTTTCTTAATAACCTAATTTGGTACACATATATATTTTATATCATAAATAAGTTATACACATTTTATTTCATACAAGAGAATGAATATTTTTGAATTTATATTTTTAAAGTTAACTCAAAAATTACTTCTCAATCATCTCAACAAAAAAATGTTAATAATTAAAGATAATGTTATATTATATAATGAATTTGTTTATTGTAAATCCAAAATTTAATTTATATTTTAATAAATATATATTACAAAATTCAAATATAATATAATTTGTATATTAAAAAAACTCTACGAATACTGTTCAAAAAATTAACTTCTTTAAATTAAATCTACTTTAAAGGTAATCATTAAACATGTGGTTATCCTTTAAAAAAATATATATTTGAATTTGAGGATCAATCCACATAACAAGACGTCTTGGTCGTTACTTAAATTAATGCATGAATTTTAAAATATTAAAAAAAAAAAGCAAATACTAAAGTATTCTCGATATATATATATATATATATATCCTTTTAACCATTACCTAATACTCTAATGATACTGATTAACAAAAATCTCACTTTTTCAACTCTTGGACATTGTACCAGGTAATCAAACCAATATCAAGTAATCATTGAATTCGACAAAATTGTTACTATTAACCTAAGCATTAATTTTTATTTTTATTTTTTACTTATCTTTTATTTATGACATCTCAGCCATGTTCAAGATAACATTGTCAATACACTTCAAATCTGAGCCCCCAAAACAAAATTACTAAAAAACAACTAAAAATTGTCAAAAGTCATCTATTTCATGTCAGATAATATTGATATAAGTAGATCACAACCAATCATCAACAGAAAATAAAAACTTTCTAGTTATGGGAAAAAAAATGCAAAAAAAAGTAGTGTTCCTTAAACCTGTGGTATACGTAACAAACCAGTAACATCCAATTCAAAGAAGCAATGTGCATCATCATCATGTGCACAATAACCATAAAACTTTTAAAATTGGCATTCAGTCAATTAACAGTATTAAACACTCCTTGGATACAACCACTACACTATGTGTTGCTTCACTGTGATTGAAAACAAGTCTTAGAAAGGAGGTAACTTGTTCTTATACAACAAGATCAACTGCATAATATAAACAAACCTTTATTTTTCCTTACTCTTTCAAAAAGTTTATCAACATATTCTACACTTCTGTTGAACATGTTACATCCCTCTAGTTGTCACCTTGGATATAATTACTTGTAAATGCATTAAACTATATCAAGTACTGTGAGAAGAACTCTTTTATCTACAGCAAAAGGAAGGTTCTTCAAATTTACAACTCACACTGTTAGCTTTTGGTCCTCTTCGAAGAAAACAAGTGGCGAATAAAAGAAAACCTTACTTTATTTCGGGTAGAAAAGTCAGTTATGGTGCCAGTACGGGTCACGGCCTCAGGTTCGTTGTCAGGTTCAGGCAGTGCTGAAAGGAGTGGTTGTTGGAGCGTGAGGAGGAACTCATTGAGCATGCGGATAATCTGATTGAAGCTTGGTCTCATGTTAGGATCTTCAACCCAGCATGATTGTATGATAAAGGCAAGATCAGGAGATATGTCTTCAGGAAGGTTAGGCCTCTCTTGCTGCAATCTCAAGCAAACCATGTTATGCATAGCAAGAAATTCAATGCCATATGAACATTAAGGAGAGTAACCAAAAAAGGGTATTCTTTATATAAGTATGGACCATGAAAGAGCAAATTTTGATGATTTTGTGAAAAACTTGGCTAAATTTTTCCATCTTGATAAAAATAATGTCAGTAATTTCATTCGGGTAATTGTCACCACAAAAAATAAAACTTAAATCTTTCAACCACAGAGCATACATTACATAAGTTATATTGAGGTAAAATCCATTGCAGTTAATCCATGCAAGCATTTGTAATTTGCATAACATGATAACCAGTTAACCACATACCTTAAATGCAGCAGCATAAGCAGCTTGTAGATTGGACATTCCTTCAAAAGGCATGCGATTTGTCAGTAGCTCCCACAAAACGATGCCAAAACTGTAGACATCAACCTTATTGTTGTAATGTTTTTTCTCCCCTTGGCGCAATGTCACAGTACTGTACAACTGTAAAAACACAAGCAATCATAAAGAACATCTTTACAAAAAAAAAAAAAAAAATGCCTACAATACAAGTGTTAGAACTGGACATATGTGAATATAATTTATACAAAATGAAAAAAGTCTAGGGCAGCCAAGCTCATTGCACAACTAGCACAGATTAACCCCTCCATTCACTCTTCCCCTCTTCTAATGGCTCTCCCTTAATGTCCTCTGGTTCCCAAATCCCCTCATCCACTGTGTCCATGCCACCTGTCATGAATCATGATTCTGTTAGGATTTCAGCTCTCTCCCATAACTAAACACTGTCTCTCATTCACCAACATGCTACTGCTGCTGGCCCAAATATTTCCTCTTCTGCTATATACTCATTTGCAACTGGCCTATCCCGTATGAATCTATAATACATCTCATAACAAACTACCAAATAGTTTTATTCAACTAATAATTTCATTCCAACTAGAAACTAAGCATCCACCCAAAAGAATGGATACTATTATTGGCAGAAATCGCAGGACGTTATTTTGCAATATGATAAGTGTCTTTTTTTGTGGTTAGGAAAATGATTTAACTTGGCATTTTATTTTAAGCACTTCTTCTGAAAGAAATTTAAGAAACAAGATGACGACAGTGGAATGGAGCTTACTCAACTAAAAAAATGAAGCAACTATAATCACCCTACTGGTTACTGCCAACATCTACTCTGATTTAGTGTAGCGATTACACAGAATCCAAGAAGAAATGCATGAACTCTATCAAATCAAGACTGATTAACAATTTTGTTCATCTTGCTTGAAAATCCCAATACATCTAAACTCAATTACCGCTTGTGTATATCATTGCCAGTGTCTAGTGTACTGCGTATTAGTTCAGGTCTCTGCAACCTGATGAGTGTTGATTTCAAGTAAGTCTGCCACTCATCTGTCGTATATCACATTAGTACAAGAAATTATCATTTTTACACTAATAGTGATGATGGAATAAGATAATATACATGTTTTGTTGGACACTTCAGTGAAATATTTTTGCATAATTTCCAGCAGAATGATAAGATCATTTACATATAGCAGAACACACCTCAGGTGCCATCCAACGGTAAGTTCCAGTTTCTGCAGTCATCATTTCAGTCACAGATTCTTCTCTTGCCAAACCAAAATCAGCAAGTTTAATTGACTTCTGGTTTTCTGTGAGCAGCAGATTGTCTACATGGTAGCAATTTGAAAATAATTGTTCATGTGAGTCAGAATAGCAGTACTAGAAATCATCAGTATAAATCTATATTTCAAACTTAATCATTAATGTGAAAAACTACAATGAGTAGCTGTCATAAAAGCAAAGTTCCAATCCAGAAATACATGGTATCTATCACATAAACAGTTTCCTCTTCAGAGAGATAGTGATAGGATGGACCAAAACAGGCCCAAAAGAAAAAAGCTTAAGTGGTTAGGATATAGTTAGAATATTATTTATAAAAATATTTACTTTATGTTTAGATGATGACACTTGTAGTGTCATCATTTAGCTGTTGGTATTTTTTAGGCTATATAAGTGTATTCTTTTAACCTATCAATCAGCAATGAAGAAAATGAATGTTTATCTTTTAGCTTCTGTTTAACTTTAATGGTAGCTTTTAGGTATTTTACAGTTGCTTAGTTTTAGCTTCCTATCAGATAGCAAAGAAGTTTCACAAAAAATTAGAATCATGAAAAAGTTTGGCCACTGAAAATAGAATAACAGAACAGAAGCTGCAACCGGATAAATTTATTGGGCACACTGCCTGCAGCATGAGGAAATAACATGGAGGTAACAATGATCCTAAATCACATTCTACTTTTTAAATAAGAAAGGAATTTTCTTTTGCTCCTTCAATGACATATAGTGCCAAGAGTAACATTTTTTAAATTAAGCCATTACAGATAGTGCACTATATACTCATAAAGGATACCAGGCTTCAGATCTCTATGTATGATCCCATTTGCATGTAACCAATCCATGGCTCGAGCAATATCAAGGGCAAACTTTATAGCCACATAAAGCTCTAATTGTTTAGGGCGTATGGTGATAAGATATCTTCGCAGTGACAACCCAGGTAACATCTCTGTAACAATCACCATCAGAGGATCCTTACAAGCTCCAATAAACTGGAAGAAACAATGACAGAAAGTCATTAGTCTTATTGTAGCATAAAGGTCAGAAGACCATAACATATACACTTCAAACTATACATCGATAAGCCTTCAGTGAAACAACGGATACCAAACAGATACAGATATGGCATTGCAGATATACAGATACATTCCGATTTCCCAAACAGAGCACACTACTCACCTTCACAAGATTCTCATGGTGGACACGAGACATCATGTTAACTTCCCGTGCAAAACGATTCTCCAGCGCAACTCTTTCTTCCAAAGTACTCCCACGATGCAGAACTTTAATAGCAACAATCCGTTCTACATACCTGGAAAATTATTAACCTACACCTACATAAACCAGTACTCCAGCTGCCAGCAAACCAATTGGGGTATACACATAATTGTACAGTTGAATCCACATACCATAACAATGTTGTCTTTTTTTAATGTATCCACAATTAATGACACTGGAACAGAAGTCAAATTACGAGTTGGAAGTAGGAAGTTCTTAAATAAAATTTCCATGTTTGTTTGGAACTTAATGAGTGTTTGGAAACCCGTCACAAAACTAGAATTCACGTTAATTATGTACAGAACGTGGACGCTAGCTACTTGAGTCTCATTAGATATGAAAAATCATACCTGGACGTGAGAACAAGCACGCCCTCCTATGTCTTAAACCATAACAAACATTTACTCTCAAGTAATATCCACCGTCCGAACACAATATTTTCGTTGAGAGTTAGCTAAGCTCATTGCAGGTTAATACACAGTTGTAGAAACAGTACACAATTGTCACACTACAATTGGGTCTTACACGCAAGTAAAATTATTACCTTTAACTGGTCTTCTGACCAAATGTTCACATGAATTAACAATCTCAAAATAATAAATAAATGAAAAAAAAAGATAATATAAAAAATTGAAATACTTTGGCAGGCAATACATTCAAAGCTTTGCCACACTGACCTTCCTTCATAAACTCTCCCATGAGCTCCCTCTCCAATTTTTGACCCAATAAATAATAGTTTGGGGTCAATCAGAAGACTATCATCAATTGTTAGCGGTTCATCTTCTATTGAACCATTCCTTTGCCTCACTGATTTTGATTCCAATCCAACAGAACTGTTCTCATATTCCTTCTCTTCTCTTTTCCCTTTGTTCCTTTCTCTGCAACTCATGCTGCAACCTTAATCTATAACCAAGTCCCTCATTTCAATACATAACAAGAAAAAGAAAAAGAAAAAAACAAAAAAAAATCTTTAAATCCAACAACAAACCCACCTCCCCTGAATCTTCCTTCCAACACAAACAACACCTCCAAAGTAAATGGAAAATATAAACAAACAAAATTCCTCTAACAGCTCACAATCCCTCCATCCAAAATCAATCATCCACTGCCGCCCCACCTTCAAAAATTATTAAAAACCGAATATTTTTCATTGTCTGTGTTCACCCATGTAGCATGTTCCCCCTCTTTCAAACCTTTGCTTCAATGAGAAGCTGGCCACAGTTTGAAGTTCATCCGAAGAAACCCATCAACTAAAAATAAAAAAATTTATATAAAAATATATGTGGAAGAAAAAAAAGAAAGTAACTTACAACAGACGCAAACAAAATTTTCTGAGAAAATCCACACACCCAACAAAATGGCCTCCAAGTTTATGTTTTAAAGCTCTTTCAAAACATCCCAAGTTAGCAAAAAGAGAAGATTAAGTGGGAAAATTTGAGTTCAGTTTCTCTCTCAAAAAAGGGGTAGTTTTGGTTCAGGGTTTCTCTCTCTACCCCCAAGTTGGAAGTGGGAAGAAGACATGTTGGTTCCGACGACGAGAGAGGATTGAAAGTGTATCCAAAAATGTCAAGTGTTCGGTGACAGGTGATGTTTAGGAATAGGAAAAAAACAAACGTGAAATGAAATATAATAAATAATTAAACATTGTCCTATGACAAAAAAACACGTGTATTTGTGAAAACGACGTTGCCGATTTGGACGTTGTTGGTGGAATCGGTGTGGACAGATATCACCATTAAACCGGCTCGGCTTACACGGCTTCCAGCTTCTTATCCATAATATTTTGCCACGTGCACATTACATTTTAATGCATCAAAATCAATACACTACAGCCTTCTAGAAACTTGGTCTACACTTTTTAATGTATCTTTAATGATTGTTCCTCTCACCTTCTCTTCTGAAATGCTAGTTTAGTTTAAAATAATGCCAATAGACTGTTTTTAGTTTTTAATAAAATATTAATTTTTTTATTTTTATTTTGGTTTCAAATTATTTATTATCTGACTCAATAAAATATATATTTATTAGAAAAATATTTAAAAATTGTTGTGATATTTCTCATTGTTTTATTTACTAAGGTTGTTGCGAAACAAAGATAGTAATTCTTTGCTTATCATTATTGTATTTTCTTATTTCAAAATAACTGTAGATTTCAGTTTTTTATATACAATAATAATACTAAATATGTCAACAATTTTACTACAATCAATTTAATTCTATAATAAATACACAAATAACTTTTCATCTAATATTGAAATATAAATTAGATATAAAAATTTAGAATATTATTCAATTTATTTTTTTAAAATGAAAATTAGTAATATTTTCGGACTTGTAGAGTATTACATATCTATTATAAAATGTTCAATTTCATTAAAAAAAATTATTTAACAGAACTAAGTCCTTATTATAATGAGATTTACCATTCATTGAAATTACCATAAATTAGAATTAGTTAGTCAATGAATCATCTTGAATTAACATTTTATTTATTTTAATAATGAAATATGTTTTATGTAGTTATCAGTTAGTTCATGACCATGGATTCAAATTGTCATGATTAGTACAAAACTAAATAATTTTATGACAAACTTATATATAATATAATATAATTGATGTTGTTCTTTAATTGATAATTTGTATTTTATTGAATGTAATATAAATATGATTAAAAAAAATTTAGAACTCAATGCTCTTTCTAACTTTATTAAAACATATTATAAAAACAAATAAATCATACAAAATAAGAACTTCATTGTCAAAACCAAAATAATCTTCTAAGTTTTCAAGTTAATAAAAAAAAAATCAAACTTTGTCTCCCCATAGATATAGATAGATTGTCTTTAAATAAAATAAGTTTTCTTTGCTGGAAAAACAACAACAACAACAACAACTAATAATAATAATAATAATAATAATAATAATAATAATAATAATAATAATCCGATTTTGATTCTAACGATCAAACATAAACATAATCCCATACTTGATAAACATGTTGTAAACTGAATGCGAAAGCGTACTCGAATTAGCCATAACGATGATGTCTTTGTAGAACACTATATTGATCTTATGGTCTTCCACTCGAAGAACACCTATATTTCCCTCTTGATTTTCTCTCTTGATGGGGATAGAAAGAAAGGAACGGGACTAATTCTGTGTGTGTGCTCCCAGAAGGGGACCATGACCCTTTAGATAACCAGAATTAGGTTAATTACTTAAGTTTTAGTATTTCCAATTTAGCCCCTCATCAAATTAGAAATTGCTCTATGGTCTCTATACAATTTTATTTTCATGACATATGCCTTTAGCCAAAACTTTAATTTAGTCAGATCACTTTATTATTTGGCTTAATAAATAATGGCCCTAACACATTTAAATTATGTATCATATATATACATGACCCAAATTTTGCCAACAATCTCCCACTGGTCACAAATATATATGTCCTTACAACCTTACAAATGTGTTAGACTTTATGAGCTCAAAATTGCCATTATATTCCTTTAGCATACTCCAAAAGTCCTGTCCATTAATCATATCAAGATATAGAACCAAACCAGCTTTTCATTGCATCATTGCAACTAAAACCAACAATGATTACTCATCCTAACATAACCAAATGACATGGATTCATCATGAAATGTGTAGCATCAAAAATTACGTGAAAGTGATCTGTACACGTCTATTTTCAACTGGTCCAAACTTTAACTTATTGAGATCGATATAATATCCTTAATGTACAAAGTGTAATGAATGAACGAAAAAACTGCATATCTATAGATAACCAAATATGTCCAAAAGACAATGTATACATATATGAAATTAAACATAGAACATAAAATATATGAAAGTGACTAACTCCCACTAAACCACAAATTCCTCAAACTGTAAAACACCCATGTGAGCAAAATGCTCATGAAAGACTTTGGGCGGAAGTCCTTTAGTCAGAGGATCTAGTATCATGGATTTTGTCCTTAAGTGTTCTATGAAAATCTGTCCACTTTGTACTCTTTCCTTAACAATACAACTGATTTATTGTCACAATATAACTTAAGTGGTCTTTCAATGTCTTTCACAATTTGCAGCCCTGTGACAAAATTTCTCAGCCATATTCCATGATTTGATGCCTCATAGCATGTTACAAATTCTTGACATCCTACAAAATCTGAGTAAGAAAACCCAGCGATCTCCAACTGGTCTGACCTCCTATATGTGAGCATATAATCTTTTGTTCTCTTTAAATATCTTATGACCCTTTTTGCTGCTTTTCAATAGTCTATTCCTGGATTGCTTAAATATCTGCCTAGAACCCCAACTATGTATGCTATGTCTAGACGCGTACATACTTGGGCATACATCAAACTCCCTACAGCTGATGCATAGGGAATCTTTTGCATTTCCTCAATTTCCAAATTCCCCTTTGGGCACTGATTGAGACTAAACTTGTCTCCCTTTAAACTTTGATACACACAATCATCAGCAATATTCATCTTGAAGTCAAATGAGTTTCATACCTTCTGGTAATGGGACAAGTTCCCAATAACCTTATTGTCTTGCATGAACTTATACTTCTCATTCATTGCTTCAATCCACTTTTGAGAGTTAGAACCTTGTATAACTTGACGGAAGTTAACTGGGTCATCTTCCATTATATCATTATTTTCCTCATGTTCCTGAAGAAATACCATGTAATCATCTGAAATAGCACTTCTTCTTTCTCTAGTGGATCTCTGCAAAGTTATTAGCTCATGATGCACAAGTTCTTGAGGATCTTGAGTTTGTTCTTCATGAACAACTAAATCATCTTGAGTGAGGGGTTCATCAACAATGCCTTGTGGAGGTTCCGAACTTACTTTATCAAAAGTAACTATTTGAATCGGTTCTGGAATTGTTACCGCTTCTTCCTCCAAGACAAAGTTCCTGATTTTATTCTTCCCCCCAAACTCAATATCCTCAAAGAACGTAGCAGTTCCCGTCTCAAAAATTGTCTTTAATGTGGGATCATAAAATTTATATCCCATGGATCTTTCAAGCATAACCAATAAAATAACTACTTACCGTTCGGGAGTCCAATTTCTTTTCATTTGGCTTATAAGGCCTTGCCTCAACTGGACAATCCCACACATGGAAATGCTTCGAGACTAGGCCGTCGCCCAGTCCAAAGCTCATAAGATGTTTTGGTAGCTGCTTTAGTTGGTACTCGTTTAGAATAAAAGCTCGTCATATTTAGTGTCTCTCCCCAAAGTGATTCTAGTAAGGTGGAATGACAAATCATACTCTCTACCATATCTTTAAGAGTGTAACACAAGCCCAAACGTCACAATTTGATGTTACCTGAGCACTTGTGCCATAATACACTTGAGTGAGTATTTTCAATTTTACGTTTAGTACCACATGATTCTGTATTAAGGGTTTCATTATAGGTGGCCACAATATCAAGTAAATACTGATTATCATAAATCAAAAGTGAACCAGTTCCAACAATATCTTAATTAAAAGACAAACTGAACTTATTGTTTCCAAATGAACACAAATAACCTAATTTGTCCAAATAAGAAACTGAAACCAAATTCCGTCTAAATGACGGCATAACAAAAGTGTCTTTCAAATCCAAATAAAAAATTAGTACTTAATAACAATTTAAAATGCCCTATAGCTTCCACCTCTACCGATTTGCCATCTCCAACATAAATCCATCTTTCAGAATCAATTGGCTTTCGGTAGTTTAGGCAACCCTTTCTTTTCACGCCAAACATGATATTTAGCACATTTCTTCTTTACGTGTCCAGTCTTATTGCAAAAGAAACATTTGTTTTCTTGAGTTTGTTTCTTTTGTTCTGGACCTTTAGCAGCTTCCTTCTTGGGATCCTCCGATCTCTTTCTTTTGCCTTTAGCCTTAGAGGTACTTGCAAAATGAGCACTTTCTATCTTATCTTGCTTTAGCCTTTCTTCTTCTTGTACGCAATGTGAAATGAGCTCATTAAGAGACCATTTATCCTTCTGACAGTTGTAAGATACCTTAAATTGATTAAACGTTGCAGGAAGAGAAATCAACACCAAATGAATGAGCAAGTCTTCTGAGAGTTCAAGCTTTAGTGT